GGATAACGATCCAATTAACAATATCTTTCAGGACCCTTTCCTCCGTTTTATGAACTGTGGAAAAGAAGTTTTTGTAAAATAGCCTTATAGGGGGTACAGGTGTTGTGTTAGTTGTCTCATATATATATATATATATATATATATATATATATATATATATATATATATATATATATATATATATATATATATGCGGAAAATCCACAGAGAAATATGAAAGGAGGTGAACGTTTCGGCTTTGTTAAAGCCTTTGTCAACATCAGTCTGGTGTTGACAAAGGCTTTAACAAAGCCGAAACGTTCACCTCCTTTCATATTTCTCTGTGGATTTTCCGCATAAAATGATCAGTGTTTGTGATCGTCAATTGCATATATATATATATATATATATATATATATATATATATATATATATATATATATATATATATATATATATATATATTAGTATATTTTGGTAGCAGTCTTTCCTGTAGACATATATTATTAAATATGACCGAAAAAGTAAGATTAATAATTCTAACACGAATTTTCTCAATCCTTCGTACATTATGCTTCACTGTTGGAGGTAAATCAAAAATCACTTCTCCAAAATTCATTTTTATTTCTAGTCTGACGCGACACGGGCGCGTTTCGTAAAACTTATTACATTTTCAAAGACTTCACAAATACACAACTGATTAGAACTTGCGTTTCCCTGATTTTATATCTACATTTGAGTGAGGTGGGAAGGGTGATGTGGCATTACATTTGAGTGAGGTGGGAAGGATGATGTGGCATTAACACAAGACAGAACACTAGAGGATATTAATAGGGTATTAAAAGTATCAACACAAGACAGAACACGAAACAATGGGTATTGAATAGAAGTGTTTGTAGAAAGCCTATTGGTCCATATTTCTTGATGCTTCTATATTGGAGCGGAGTCTTGAGGTGGGTAGAATATAGTTGTGCAATAATTGGCTGTTGATTGCTGGTGTTGACTTCTTGATGTGTAGTGCCTCGCAAACGTCAAGCCGCCTGCTGTCGCTGTATCTATCGATGATTTCTGTGTTGTTTACTAGGATTTCTCTGGCGATGGTTTGGTTATGGGAAGAGATTATATGTTCCTTAATGGAGCCCTGTTGTTTATGCATCGTTAAACGCCTAGAAAGAGATGTTGTTGTCTTGCCTATATACTGGGTTTTTTGGAGCTTACAGTCCCCAAGTGGGCATTTGAAGGCATAGACGACGTTAGTCTCTTTTAAAGCGTTCTGTTTCGTGTCTGGAGAGTTTCTCATGAGTAGGCTGGCCGTTTTTCTGGTTTTATAGTAAATCGTCAGTTGTATCCTCTGATTTTTGTCTGTAGGGATAACGTTTCTATTAACAATATCTTTCAGGACCCTTTCCTCTGTTTTATGAGCTGTGGAAAAGAAGTTCCTGTAAAATAGTCTAATAGGGGGTATAGGTGTTGTGTTAGTTGTCTCTTCGGAGGTACAAACACTTATATCAATACCCATTGTTTCGTGTTCTGTCTTGTGTTGATACTTTTAATACCCTATTAATATCCTCTAGTGTTCTGTCTTGTGTTAATGCCACATCATCCTTCCCACCTCACTCAAATGTATGCCACATCACCCTTCCCACCTCACTCAAAGGTAGATATAAAATCAGGAAACGCTTTTGGTGATCAGTTGTGTTTTTAATACGTCTTTGAAGCATGTTATAGAGTTGTACGATTCGAGCAGAGTCGCGTCAGACTAGAAATAAAAATGCACTGTTCGAGAAATTCGTGTTGAATTATTAATCTTTCGAATGTCAGCAATTGGCAACTAAAGTCGTGTTTAAAGCGGCCGTCTTCCAAGAGCATTTTTTCGTATATAAAAACACAAATTGTTCTCATATATAAATAATTATATAACAGGTGTATTTATAGCAGGTGTTTAGGTTCTTTTGGTGATTATTTGTGTTTTTAATTAACAAGCATTTTGCATTTGTTTATGAAGACAGCTGAATTATCGCACGTCTGCCTATAACTGTGTGAAACAATTGCTGAGTTGCCTTTATTTCCTTCAGGGTGTCCACAAATTCATACAAGTGAGTCGGTGCCCCATTACGTCTCTCTGGAGGAGTCGAACTTCTTCACCCTCTGGTTCAGAGTCAACAGTGATCTTACCATTAACAAACAATGGGTGACCACCTTCAAGTTTGGCTCTGGAGAAGGCAACACCAAATTTACCAACATATACCAACTCGTTTTTGAGAAGGTTAAGAAAAGAAAATATCTTACATGCACTCTCACAAAAACAGCTGGAGGTAAAAAGTACCTGGACGAGCGCTTATCACAGAGCTGGTTCACCAGTGAGGATTGGGTGGGGGTCTCCATGCAGCACTCAAGGTTCACACTCTACCTCAACCACAACGGCACCCAGCTTCACGTCCAACTCAAGGACCAACAGGTTAGATACATTTGGTATTCAAAACATTTTATACACTATATATATATTATATATATATATATATATATAGCCAAATATATATATATATATATATATATAGCCTAATAAGCCAAGTTTTCCTGAATTAATATATTTTCTCTAATTTTTTTCTTATGAAATGATAAAGCTACCCATTTCATTATGTATGAGGTCATTTTTTTTTATTGGAGTTAAAATTAACGTAGATATATGACCGAACCTAACCAACCCTACCTAACCTAACCTTTCTTTATAGGTTAGGTTAGCTTCTAGCAGTATGGGTTCGAGTCACTTCTGGGGGGTGAGGTTTCAGTTGCATATATGTCTGGAGACGTTCAGGCTTGTTTGCATCTCGCCTCTCTCTCTCTCTCTCTCTCCTCTCTCTCCTCTCTCCTCTCCTTCTCTCTATGAACTCTTCTATATCTCATCTCTCTCTCTCTTTCTCTCTCTCTCTCTCTCTCTCTCTCTCTCTCGTCTCTCCTCTCTCTCTCTCTCTCTCTCTCTCTACTCTCAAGGCTCTCTTTGCCTAATAAGCAAGTCTTCCTGAATAATAATTTTTTCTAATTTCTCTCTTCTGAAATGATAAAGCTACCCATTTCATTATGATGAGGTCAATTTTTTTATTGGAGTTAAATTAACGTAGATATATGACCGAACCTAACCAACCCTAACTAACCTACCTACTATCTTATAGGTTAGGTTGGTTAGGTAGCCGAAACTGGGTTAGGTTAGGTTGGTAGGTTAGGTAGTCAGAAAAAAACTAATTCATGAAAATTGGCTTATTAGGCAAATCGGGCCAGGCATAGTAGGCCAAAAAAGTGAGTTCTATACTAGTACGACCTTGGGGAATACAAGTCGCAGTTATATAAGACAGTTCACCAGTGGGTTTTAAAAACCTAGCTAACCTAAACTTAACCTTAGGTAATACATCCAAACCTAACAATATACGGGTCTGATAATCGGAAAACGATTGACTCGTCATATGTGCCCCTGGGAGCACACTCATCCTGGGGGGAGGTGTCTAGCAGCACACAAATAACTGTTTGTGCGTTGTCCACTAATTGGAGATCGAAGTCACCTGCCTTCCTGCTGATGGGATCCGGGAATCAATGTTCCCGCGGCCCGGTCTATGACTAGGCCTACTGGTTGACAGGTAAAGCAAGCTATTGGAGGCCGCCGTGATCATCAGGAATTCTTTGGAGGTGTTTATTAAGTTATCTTTTAAACCCCACGAGAGGCCGGCTAGTTTTGCCCCCTATGTTTAGAGGAGATTGTTGAAAAGTATTGAGCCTTTAATGTTGATAAAATTGTGTCTCAGCATATTTATTGCACCTGCGATTTTCATTGGGGCTAATTTGCACTTCCTGCCTCCACGTCTCCACGACTTTATTTCCACGTGCAGATAAGGGACCAGTACACACAGAAATCACAATAGCGTGATACATCAAATGAGGTTTCAACTCTTTTGACCATGTCGTAGCTCAGTCGATTAAGGCAGCGTCTGGGATGCTCTCGGACGCAGGTTCGAATCCTCGTCACGGCCCTTGTGGATTTGTTCATGGGACTAGTCCTTCAGATATTTTCCAAGTGTAAGTTATTACGCATTTCTAGAAACTGCATGTTTTTGACATTTTAAAGATTCTCAATAATTTAGATGTTTTCTTCAACGGATTCAGACAGTAAAGATCTCTGATTCACTTAGTACACAGGTGCACCAATACGTCGATATACCTGTGTTGCAAAGGTACAGTTTGTTTGCAACATTTTGACGTTTCTAAGTAGACATTCTGGAGACTTTCTCTGTCCTCTGCAAAAATATTTGTCAGAATTTCAATCTTCTATAAGAAGATTGAAGACGATTGAAAGTCGTATTTTTTCTGTTGCATTCGCTTTGAGTTATTCTTCTGTGTGTTGAGATACACTTTGAGATCATGAACTGTGCGTACATTCTATATCACGCTATTATCCCGCAATATTTAATGTTCAACACAGAGCTCGGGGATTACAAGAGTCTCTCGCCCTAGACAGAGCCGACACTCCTAATATTTTCTCCCCTAACAGTTTTTTAATTTTTTTTTAAATTTTGCCCCGAGGAGCGAGTTTATTGGGCAGCGTCACTCATCTTGTGAGTGGACATACCGCCATAGCAGAATGTACAACACTCCCCAATAGGAAGAAAACCCGCTGGGTTGTTCATCCTGTCACTTGTACCCAGACACAGCTGGGACTTGCTTAAATGTCTCAAGTGAACAGCTCCTCAAACAAGAAGATTAACATCTGTCAACCCTTAAAAGCTTACGTTATCTTGCGGGTGCAAAATGGGAAAATCTTTTAAGAACAGTATCAATATTTGACAAATAGTGTTTTCCTAACTCAATGTGGGGTTTATTATTCTACACATATTTCTAATGTCTCTCAGGTGTTCACATTCACGTACATCTAACAGTTGTTCCTCTTATGCTTTATGGTTAGCGAATTTTGGCAAAGAAATTCCTTCAGGCAAGGACTAATGCTTCTTAGTCTGGTGGAGAGCTCTAGAGACTAGCGAACCAAGGACCAGATTCACGAAGCTGTTACGCAAGTACTTACGAACGTGTACATCTTTCCTCAATCTTTGACGGCTTTGGTTACATTTATTAAACAGTTTACAAGCATGAAACCTTCCCAATCAATTGTTGTTATTGTTATAAGCAGCCTCCTGGTGCTTCGGAGTTCATTAACTGTTTAATAATTGCAAAGAAAGCCGCCAAAGTTTGAGAAAAGATGAACAGGTTCGCAAGTGCTTGCGTAACTGCTTCGTGAATTCCCTGGGGCCTTCCAGAACCGACGAAGTCCTTCTTAACGTGTGTAACTTTCGAAACATCACTATTTTAGTGCAAATAAACCATTGAACGAATTTTAAGTTTTCATATACTCAAAGAATTAACAAATAATTTTCATGTTTGCTAAGAATGTAAATCATGTAAATCAAGCAGAGGTAAATTTTGCTTTCGTTATTTAGCAACTCTAACGTAATGAAGTTCAAGTTCCGATTTTCATTGACTCATCAAAATCTTTATTTACAGTTGGAAAATGTAAAGACTGTCGAAGTTAAAGCAGATTTAGACATCGGGGAGAACTGCCATATTCCTGAAGGTAAGACCGGGACTCTTGGAGTAAGAGACTAGGACTCTTCAAGGTAAGACTAGGGCTCTTGGAAGTAAGTGCCTAGGGCTCCAGCCTGTCACAGCTATGGGCAGCCTGACGTCCATTCGGGCTGCTAAACAAGTCATGTCTTAAGGATCTTTAAAACATATAGTTTTTGTTAATTTTTCTACTAATTTGTTTGATGGTATGAGTTTTATTGTATAAGATTAAGCCGACCAGCTTCGTGCGGGAATGACAGTTTTTGTGCGGGAGTTACAGCTTGACAGCTTCGTTATTTCCTCTAAGTGGTATCATCCTTACTATCTCATGCTTAGCACGCAAAAATGAAATTTTCTACGCTTGTGTTATTGCGTGTCCTTCCGTCGTGGCGGTGCCAGAGCAGAAGGAAAACCAAATGGTAAGGCTGAGTTACTGTCGTTTGATTAAGGCGCCACGACGGCAGTCGGGCACTGCCTTAGGTACTCTGAGAGAGAACTCTATCAACATCAGAGGCCCGAGACTGTTCAACACGCTTCCACTACACATAAGGGGCATAACTGGCAAACCCCTCACAGTGTTCAAGAGAGAACTGGATAAGCAACTCCAAAGGATACCTGATCAACCAGGCGGTGACTCATACGTCAGGCTGCGAGCAGCCGCGTCTAACAGCCTGGTTGATCAGTCCAGCAACCAGGAGGCCTGGTCGACGACCGGGCCGCGGGGACACTAAGCCCCGGAAGCACCTCAAGGTAGCCTCAAGGTAGGGCCGGATGTGGCATGGAGTTGAAGGAGAAATATGCTAAGTCTTGCGGGTTAAATACACGTTGCCTGTCAGCGGAAACGAGCGCACCTTGCGGTGAATAAAACACTCTGATAGGCAGATGTTTGGGAAAGCCCCAAGTGCATGCCAGCCTTGCCTCTCTTAGGGAGGCAAGGCTGGCTGGCATGCACCCTTCACATACAGAGAACGCAAAGTAGAGGCAGTGGGGCTGTTGGTGTTATATATTCAGCTACTCGGATCAAGTTCCAAGTAGCACGGTCTATGGTGAGCCCGTAAACGTACCTGGCACAGGAGCGGGCAGAAGAAGCATGGGCTATGGTTATCCTCGTGGACGGGAGATGTCTCCCCGCAGTGGGGCGTCTCGATTTTTTTTTTTTTTTTTTTTTTTTTTTTTTATTATTTTCTACCACAGACGTGGCCACACATTTACAATGCTACCCCATATATACATTTTCTCTGTCCTCCATGGACAGGGTTAGAGAAGTGTTAACCTACAGTTCAAGGGTTTATTGAACACTCAACACAGAGGTGATTCGGTGCTTTTAAAATGCTAAGCTAACCTACATACGTAAATACAAGAACACAGATTTACGGACGCCCTACATAAAGTATTAGAGGTGTCTTTTCATAGTGTCATTAATGTACATTCACAAGGTGAAATGTAATTCTGATCAGCTTCCATATATACTTATACCCATACATATACATACACACACACATACACATACTATATACACACATACATGCATTCACATACATTTGTCTCATTTACCCTGACAGGGTGAGGTAGCTGATAAAGAAACTAGTGTGCAATTAAGCACTTAATCACTGAAGGTGATGAAGGTGCTTTTACAAGCTCAGGCGTCTCGATTGATTGATGAAGATTAAGCCACCCAAGAGGTGGCACGGGCATGAATACCCCGTAATGGGGCGTTTCCTCTTGGTATAGGGTTTTTAGCACCGGTTCATGCACACCACGCTCCCCGGCTTAGTGCGTTCGTTTGATGAATTCAAGTCCAAGCATCGGCTCATCTAACATTTCGTGTGGCTTCTAAACAAACCATACAGCTAAACCCTGATGGCTTGTAGCTGTGTTAATAAGGGCTAAATTTTACTATTTTACTTTGCCTAAAGAAGTTTATGCTTCTCTCGTCAGTGTTAATTTTGAGTCCCGTTCTGAGGTCGAATACCAGAGCCAGGATTTTCATCAAGCATTTACACAGTCCATTACGAAACCTATACATCTTAATGCAATCATGCTGGCTTTATTTTTTATTTATTAAAACGGTTACGAGCTCGGAAACTTCACAAACCAAGGTGGTGCAGGCGATGAGTCACAATAACGTGGCTGAAGTATGTTGACCAGACCACCACACTAGAAGGTGAAGGGAAGATGACGTTTCGGTCCGTCCTGGACCATTCTCAAGTCGTTTGTGACTTGAGAATGGTCCAGGACGGACCGAAACGTCGTCGTCCCTTCACCTTCTAGTGTGTTGGTCTGGTCAACACCCAAGGGTGGTGGCTGTTATAAAAAAAAAAATGTAGTGCTTCAGTGTTCATAAAATGTATATTAAATGTTAACATAACCGCATGAGGGGGCCTTGTAGCCTGGTGGATAGCGCGCAGGACTCGTAATTCTGTGGCGCGGGTTCGATTCCCGCACGAGGCAGAAACAAATGGGCAAAGTTTCTTTCACCCTGAATGCCCCTGTTACCAACAGTAATAGTACCTTGAGTTAGTCAGCTGTCACGGCTGTTTCCTGGGGGGGGTGGAGGCCTGGCGAGGACCGGGCCGCGGGGACACTAAAGCCCCGAAATCATCTCAATAACCTCAAAAGAAGATGATTAAGGGAAGATTACAGGCTTCGTAAGCAGTTGAGTAACTGCTGAGAACCCTGGTTCTTTATTCTACTTTCATTCGTGTCTTGAGATGGTTGATATGAAGCTTTAGGCGATCTCGGGTTCTCTTGCGCGTGCGTAATGTTTGGCACTAATGTTTATTGGTGATTATTCCATTCATTCGCTTTCAAAGTTGCTGAGGAATAGTACGGAGTATTTGTGTGCCGTCCGGATACGTGCTGTTTTTCTCCATGTTAGGGGCAGGTATGCATTGTATATTCCGGAAAATTCTGTTATTTTGCAGCATGTAATGCTAGTACAGATGCGTCTCGTGTCTCTTGCGTCCTAGTAATCTTTTCTTGAAAGCCTTGCATAATATATATATATATATATATATATATATATATATATATATCTATATATATATATAATATGTATATAATAGTATATAATATGTATATATATATAATATATGTATATATATATATGTATATATATATATATATATATATATATTATATATATATATTGAATATATATATATGCTTCTTGCAGTGTGACTGTTGTTTTAGACTGATGTGCTTCTTACGCTTTAAGACTAGAAAGGATTCATACAATGATGGTTTTAAAATAAATATTGTTCTCTGTTTTACCCCCCAGAGCACAGTACAACAGCTGCTACCACCACAATCTACCACTACCACCACATCTACCACAAACACCACAACTACAACTCAAACCACTACCGTAGCTACCACAACAGAGCCCACACCAACTGAACCATATGCGGCCTCCACCACCGCGACGCATTTCGAAAACTACGTTATGGATGGCCAGATTCACGAAGCTGTTACGCAAGTACTTACGAACGTGTACATCTTTCCTCAATCTTTGACGGCTTTGGTTACATTTATTAAACAGTTTACAAGCATGAAACCTTCCCAATCAATTGTTGTTATTGTTATAAGCAGCCTCCTGGTGCTTCGGAGCTCATTAACTGTTTAATAATTGTAAACAAAGCCGCCAAAGATTGAGAAAAGATGAACAGGTTCGCAAGTGCTTGCGTAACTGCTTCGTGAATTCCCTGGGGCCTTCCAGAACCGGCGAAGTCCTTCTTAACGTGTGTAACTTTCGAAACATCACTATTTTAGTGCAAATAAACCATTGAACGAATTTTAAGTTTTCATATACTCAAAGAATTAACAAATAATTTTCATGTTTGCTAAGAATGTAAATCATGTAAATCAAGCAGAGGTAAATTTTGCTTTCGTTATTTAGCAACTCTAACGTAAATGAAGTTCAAGTTCCGATTTTCATTGACTCATCAAAATCTTTATTTACAGTTGGAAAATGTAAAGACTGTCGAAGTTAAAGCAGATTTAGACATCGGGGAGAACTGCCATATTCCTGAAGGTAAGACCGGGACTCTTGGAAGTAAGAGACTAGGACTCTTCAAGGTAAGACTAGGACTCTTGGAAGTAAGTGCCTAGGGCTCCAGCCTGTCACAGCTATGGGCAGCCTGACGTCCATTCGGGCTTGCTAAACAAGTCATGTCTTAAGGATCTTTAAAACATATAGTTTTTGTTAATTTTCCTACTAATTTTGTTGATGGTATGAGTTTATTGTAAGATTAAGCCGACCAGCTTCGTGCGGGAATGACAGTTTTGTGCGGGAGTTACAGCTTGACAGCTTCGTTATTTCCTCTAAGTGGTATCATCCTTACTATCTCATGCTTAGCACGCAAAAATGAAATTTTCTACGCTTGTGTTATTGCGTGTCCTTCCGTCGTGGCGGTGCCAGAGCAGAAGGAAAACCAAATGGTAAGCTGAGTACTGTCGTTTGATTAAGGCGCCACGACGGCAGTCGGGCACTGCCTTAGGTACTCTGAGAGAGAACTCTATCAACATCAGAGGCCCGAGACTGTTCAACACGCTTCCACTACACATAAGGGGCATAACTGGCAAACCCCTCACAGTGTTCAAGAGAGAACTGGATAAGCACCTCCAAAGGATACCTGATCAACCAGGCTGTGACTCATACGTCAGGCTGCGAGCAGCCGCGTCTAACAGCCTGGTTGATCAGTCCAGCAACCAGGAGGCCTGGTCGACGACCGGGCCGCGGGGACACTAAGCCCCGGAAGCACCTCAAGGTAGCCTCAAGGTAGGGCCGGATGTGGCATGGAGTTGAAGGAGAAATATGCTAAGTCTTGCGGTTAAATACACGTTGCCTGTCAGCGGAAACGAGCGCACCTTGCGGTGAATAAACACTCTGATAGGCAGATGTTTGGGAAGCCCCAAGTGCATGCCAGCCTTGCCTCTCTTAGGGAGGCAAGGCTGGCATGCACCTTCCATACAGAGAACGCAAAGTAGAGGCAGTGGGGCTGTTGTTGTTATAGATTCAGCTACTCGGATCAAGTTCCAAGTAGCACAGGCTATGGTGAGCCCGTAACTTACCTGGCACAGGAGCGGGGCAAGAAGCATGGGCTATGGTTATCCTCGTGGACGGGAGATGTCTCCCCGGCAGTGGGGCGTCTCGATTGATTGATGAAGATTAAGCCACCCAAGAGGTGGCACGGGCATGAATACCCCGTAATGGGGCGTTTCCTCTTGGTATAGTGTTTTTAGCACCGGGTCAGGTGCTACACACGCTCCCCGGCTTAGTGCGTTCGTTTGATGAATTCAAGTCCAGCATCGGCTCATCTAACATTTCGTGTGGCTTCTACAAACCATACAGCTACACCCTGATGGCTTGTAGCTGTGTTAATAAGGGCTAAATTTTACTATTTTACTTTGCCTAAAGAAGTTTATGCTTCTCTCGTCAGTGTTAATTTTGAGTCCCGTTCTGAGGTCGAATACCAGAGCCAGGATTTCATCAAGCATTTACACAGTCCATTACGAAACCTATACATCTTAATGCAATCATGCTGGCTTTATTTTTATTTATTAAACGGTTTACGAGCTCGGAAACTTCACAACCCAAGGTGGTGCAGGCGATGAGTCACAATAACGTGGCTGAAGTATGTTGACCAGACCACACACTAGAAGGTGAAGGGAAGACGACGTTTCGGTCCGTCCTGGACCATTCTCAAGTCGTTTGTGACTTGAGAATGGTCCAGGACGGACCGAAACGTCGTCGTCCCTTCACCTTCTAGTGTGTGGTCTGGTCAACACCCAAGGTGGTGGCTGTTATAAAAAAAAATTGTAGTGCTTCAGTGTTCATAAAATGTATATTAAATGTTAACATAACCGCCATGATGTAGCCTGGTGGATAGCGCGCAGGACTCGTAATTCTGTGGCGCGGGTTCGATTCCCGCACGAGGCAGAAACAAATGGGCAAAGTTTCTTTCACCCTGAATGCCCCTGTACCTAGCAGTAAATAGGTACCTGGGAGTTAGTCAGCTGTCACGGGCTGTTCGACCGGGCCGCGGGGACACTAAAGCCCCGAAATCATCTCAAGATAACCTCAAGAAGAAGATGAGGGGATGTACAGGCCGTAAGGTTGAGTAACTTTACCCTGGTTCTTTTCTACTTTCATTCGTGTCTTGAGATGATTGATATGAAGCTTTAGGCGATCTCGGGTTCTCTTGCGCGTGCGTAATGTTTGCCACTAATGTTTATTGGTGATTATTTTCCATTCGCTTTCAAAGTTGCTGAGGAATAGTACGGAGTATTTGTGTGCCGTCCGGATACGTGCTGTGTTCTCCATGTTAGGGGCAGGTAGGCATTGTATATTCCGGAAAATTCTGTTATTTTGCAGCATTTAATGCTAGTACAGATGCGTCTCGTGTCTCTTGCGTCCTAGTAATCTTTTCTTGAAAGCCTTGCACTAATATATATATATATATATATATATATATATATATATATATATATATATATATATATATATATATATATATATATATATATATGAATATATATATAATGCTTCTTGCAGTGTGACTGTTGTGTTAGACTGATGTGCTTCTTACGCTTTAAGACTAGAAGGGATTCATACAATGAATGGTTTAAAAATAAATATGGTTCTCTGTTTTACCCCCAGAGCACAGTACAACAGCTGCTACCACCACATCTACCACTACCACCACATCTACCACAACCACCACAACTACAACTCAACCCACTACCGTAGCTACCACAACAGAGCCCACACCAACTGAACCATATGCGGCCTCCACCACCGCGACGCATTTCGAAACTACGTTATGGATGGTTACAGACTTAACTGGAGATCAGGGGAATGCATCCACCAGCCCCGTTACGGACAAAGGCGCCCAAGAATGTCACAAGATTCCCTTGTGGGTGTGGGTGTGTGTGGGGTTGATGGCCAGCTTCTTCGTCTTCTTTATCATTCTCTTAATTTACACCATCATCCTCTGTCGTCGAAACTGGTCCCTGCAGGCGGCCGTAGCCAGACAAAGCCAGCACCTTCGTGGCCGAATACCACCACCTGGTGGCTACGGCGAAGAGGCCAGAGACATGCACTACTACGGGATGAGGAACCAGAACCTGATGATTGGAGGAACAACGCCAAGGATTCGAACTCCATCTCCTCGACAGCCTTCCCAACGCTTCGACTCCAACGCCAAAACTTTGTCATGCACTCGTTCCCTCTCACACCCTGGGCCTTCCTACTTAGCTCCTACCATCAACTTCCCAGCGGCGCCCAGGGAAGAACCACCTCCCGAGTTTCTTGAAGAGATGGACCTCACTTGTACCTGTGACTCTGAGGAGCACGAAATGGATCCACTGACTGGAAAGATGTATAACATCTCGGAAAATAACTTGGCTGATGATGAAAGAAGTACCAGCAGCTACAACAGGAGTACCAAGAGGATATAGGAGATAAATTGTAAATTATAAATAGTTTATAGATGAGGAGTTGTTTGTAGAGTTTGGCTAATCTCTTCTACTCCGAGGAAATGGATTTGTTTTATGAAGTTGTGTGTAAATTTTTGGGTATTTTTTCCCGAACTGTGACATGATGACAACTATTGTTATGCTGTCAGGGTTGTCTTGTTACAACGGTGAGATGTTTACAATAGTGTTCGTTTTGCACAATGTATTAGACGAGAACTGAATCATGCATCAATTGAGCTACAGTTAACCACGATAAGTCCACAATGGGCTCACCATAACCCGTGCTACTTGGAACATTTGTTCCCAGTAGCTGAATCTAAAACATCAATAACAACAACAGATTGTGTTTGCAATGTTGTGGGTTGGTTGCAACGTTCTGCCCATCTACTGGTCCTTCACAGTCTCAGTTGAAAGTGTTATGTCATGAACATCAGTTAACATAACCAACAATTAAGACGAATTCACAAGAAACATGGATGTTGTTATACCCGGCCACTCGTTAAGTTACTCATCTGAAGACAGTTATTATCAGTAGTCTGGGGCCAGATTCACGAAGCAGTTACGCAAGCACTTGCGAACCTGTACATCTTTTTTCAATCTTTGGCGGCTTTGTTTACAATTATTAAACAGTTAATGAGCTCCGAAGCACCAGGAGGCTGTTTATAACAATAACAACAGTTGATTGGGAAGTTTTCATGCTTGTAAACTGTTTAATAAATGTAACCAAAGCCGTCAAAGATTGAGGAAAGTTGTACACGTTCGTAAGTACTTGCGTAACTGCTTCGTGAGTCTGGCCCCTGGTTCTTAGCACTTTGGCGAGTCACGAACTTAATTTTTATTGTCTGAAAAGCTCTTCTGTTGGCACGTTAATTAATGTTTTATGTTATGTTTATTTTTAAGTGATTTTTAACTTGAAGACTTTATAGAAGAATGTTGTGGTAACGTGAACTGGTTGTTAATTCATGCAGTTAGTGTTGTAGATACAATAAGTGTTGTACAATGTTGTAAATAGAGAAAGTAATTGTAATTAATAATTAAGTAATAGTAAGTAATATGACTTTTCATGTGTTTGCCATAGGGACAATTTCTTGTATATTTGTTGTTACCGGAGTTAAGGCTTTTGTTACTTAATGAAAACATGAATAGAAGTTGAAAGTATGTGTGGCACACTTGAACGTGCACTCACACTCACTACAGCATGGTTACGCTAATAGTCCCGTATCTCATCCTGGAATGCAGATGAGAAGTCACAATAACGTGACTGAAATATGTTGACCAGACCACACACTAGAAAGTGAAGAGACGACGACGTTTCGGTCCGTCCTGGACCATTCTCAAGTCGATTGTAAATACAATGATGTAAATACTTCGACGTTGACATCCTGGAATGTTATGATATTCAGTATGATGTTGACTTTGATAATGACATGCTTTCAATATTATGAGAAATTTAGCTTTCCCAGTGTACCTGGGAGTTGTGTAAGTGTAAGGGGGGGGCCTCGTAGCCTGGTGGATAGCGCGCAGGACTCGTAATTCTGTGGCGCGGGTTCGATTCCCGCACGAGGCAAAAACAAATGGGCAAAGTTTCTTTCACCCTGAATGCCCCTGTTACCTAGCAGTAAATAGGTACCTGGGAGTTAGTCAGCTGTCACGGGCTGCTTCCTGGGGGTGGAGGCCTGGTCGAGGACCGGGCCGCGGGGACACTAAAGCCCCGAAATCATCTCAAGATAACCTCAAGATAAGTACCTCGATAAAATATCCGGTGAATGTGATTCCTTTGGTTCATCTGATGTCTTTCTGCTCTCGGACTGACATCCTAAATGATACCGTGAATATTTAGAATAATTTGAAACATAGATGGCCCTATATAGTCATCCGGGCTTGGCGCATTCTTTTGATTAATACGTGAAATTGAAGAAGTCCATAGAGCTGGTGAGCAGGGGGATGGAAGGGGTTGGATATAGGAAATCTTGAAGTAAGATTGAGAGATAAGGTAGAGAAGAGGAAATACAAGTTAGTGGCCTTTGGCACTTTGGCTTTGTGGGTGATTCTGATGCTGTGATAAGTTCACCTTTTGTGAATTAGAAATAATGAACTGCAAATGTTAAAAAATATAATGCATTAAAACTCTGAAAATTATATAATGTATGAAGTCAGTATTCCCTGTGCTATACAATGATTATTTATGAGTTAAATAATTGGGGTTAAAACTAATGTGTTACAAGAACAGTGATGGAGCTGAGTAAATCTTACTGGGGGAATTATTTAATGGAATAAAATGAAATACCAAAGGGGGAAAGAAATGCTCGATTCCGAAGCTCGTCGTTAATGTATCAATGGAAATTAAATGCGATGAGCAAAGCTGAAGTTATAAATGGTTAAAGTAGACCTATTAAGTCCAGGCATTGAGGGACAATTCACCATACTCTGGCAGCTTCTTAGATGTGTCGCTGTTAACAACTGTTTGTGGTAAACAATTATCATATTTACTAAGACGTTGACATCTAAAAATGTGTGTTTTATTTTTTTTAAGGATTCTCGTTTAACAAGTGACTTAATGTTTCAACCTCGTTACTGTGAGTAACTTTTCTAGTTTTTTTTCGAGGATACTGGTGGTAGTTCTTCTCGTAGTCGTGCTGTTAGGTGGTAGGTGGTGCTGGTAGTTCTCGTGGGTGCTGCTGCTGGTAGTTCTCAAGGTTTAGTCATTTATTATGCACCCCATACCCTTCCCGTTATTACTCACATATATAAATATATCTTACCTTAATATCCAAAACCGTGCTACTTGGCCTAGTATGCAAGGCCTGATTTGCCTAACCGGCAGTGATTCCAAGAGAATAAAAATTAACTATGCAAGGCCCGATTTGCCTAATAGTTTTCCTATTATATATTTTCTCTAATATCAAATGATAAAGCTACCCATTTCATTATATATATTTTTTTTTATGGGAGTTAAAATTAATATATATATACCTAATACCTATTTTTATAGGTTAGGTTATATATATATATAGGTATAGGTAGTCAAAAACAATTTATCATACTTGGCTTATATATATATATACGATATATATATATATATATATATATATATATATATATATATATATATATATATATATATATATATATATATATATATATACATACACATATACAACATGTATGTTATATACACATACACATGTTATATATATACACAAATGCATATATCAATAGTCTTTATATCATAAGTGATTCAAGAAGAGGCTCACAACAGTAACTATACAAGGCACTTTACATCTATGGTGAGTCACACAGTTACTAGTCTTGCTCCACACCCACCCAACTGGGCGGCAGCTTTACAGTCATGTGCATGCTGCACCTACAATAAGTAAACTTTGGATACTTGGCTAAGATTAAATCTAAGATACTTAGATGGCTAAGTACTTACAAATTTCTTGGACACCTTGATAGTATTATCTCTGAATTCAACGATTGTTTTTACATTTCATTATATAATGACGCAAAGTATGCGAATAGTTCTGCTGAGAGAGTTTACATTTAGTCAAGTCTACATCAGCAGCTGGTGCAAACTCCCAGAGGTACTTGTAGCTGAGCCTTAGCCTAGTAGTGGTAACATTTAGAAGTAGTTCTTGTAGCTGGTACTGGTCGTTCTTCTCATAGCTTGTGCTAGTAGTTCTTTTCGTAGCTGTTGGTAGTTCTTTTCGAAGCTGGTGTTAGTAGTTCTTCTCATGGCTGGTGTTGGTAGTTCTTCTCGTAGCTGGTAGTGGTAGTTCCTCTCGTAGCTGGTACTGGTAGTTCCCCTCGTACTTGGTACTGGTAGTTCTCGTGGGTGATGCTTTATTAAAGGAAGTCAAACTTTGCCTCGTGGAATACACTCAGGTAATTGGCTTCTTGATGTTGTTTGAACTTTCACGGTTGGAGAGTATGCTAAGTTAGGGAAAGTTAGTCGGTGATGAACTATTGTTGGATGGTGGTGACTGCCTTCAGTACGCTCCTCTTCAGCCTGGAAACCAAGTTGGCAAGTTTCTTCAAAGTTTCTGATTTCCCAAATGATGATTATTAACTACGTATCTCTTGCACACATAAATCTTATGAACACTGTTGTTGTTGTGTTATTTTCAACTTAATTACTTGAAATTTCTGTTGTTTGAATTATCATATTATCATATGATTAGTTATTTTAATTTTGTTGTTTATAAAACAATGGAATTAGTTTTGTTCGTAAATGATGTTAGTAACGGTTATATTGTTTTGTAAATACTTTATTCATACACACACACACACACACACACACACACACACACACACACACACACACACACACACACATTGGCGTGCTGAAAGAGCAGAGCTCAACCCCCGCAAGCACAACTAGGTGAATATACACACCCACACACTCATTAACCAATCAAGGCTTCAGTTCTCTCGTGGTAATTACGAACCCATCAAGGAGTCTCCTCCATACTCACTGAACCTTTCATGTTGAATCACTGAAGACGAATACTCAAAAAGCAGAATTCAAGAAGTTCAAATGGCGTCCGTAAACCAGATAATCCTCTCATTCCCCCTAACAAAAAGATTCCATTTGATGGTTTTTAAGGTAAGCACCCCAGCGTGGAGTAGCGTTTACCTGTGAGGTAAAGCGATTTTTAGGGAAACTTTACAAAGAGATGTTGTGATTGAGAGAGAAATGTTGGAGAAGCGCTGAAGGAAGCGTTTAGAGAGACTGTACACTTCAAGATGTTTGATATGGATGGATTTATGGGGAAAGAAAGAGAGATGTGTGAGAAAGGTTTTGGGTGTTCTTCGTAAGCTGCACTGGGAGATAAGTCTGGGAGACGCCTTGAAAGAAAAATCAAAGAAAAGGAACAATTGTAATATGTTAATTGGGTCACCTGGTTATTTACTGAGACATTTGACTTGATTTACAAGTTTACAAGTTTTGGTTTGGTGTTGGACTTGACGGTGAGGTTGGCCTCACCTCAGCCGTCAAGTTGACAGCCGTCAACCTCAGCCGTCAAGTTGACAGCCGGTTGACAGCCGTCAACCTCAGGAGGGTTACAACGGCCACCACACTTCCTTACTAACCAAAAAAGCAGATATTATCTAGTCTTATACTTAACTCATATACTTTTATACGTACTGTTTAATACTAAGTGAAAATAAGTACAATTCCTGACTGTTATGAATAGTACATAATTGGACTTATTTGTGCTGTTACATTTACCTCTCCATTTTTGGAGGACGGGCTGAGTTATAGTGGCTGTGAGGAGTGACTTCCTCAAGACAAAGTTAGTTAATTAAACCCCTGAAGGACGTTTGCTACAGTGGGCCTCCCACTCTTGATATCAATGCCCATAACATCTGTATATTGTATTGTAGATTGTTATCTTGAGATGATTTCAGGGCTTTAGTGTCCCCGCGGCCCGGTCCTCGACCAGGCCTCCACCCCAAGGAAGCAGCCCGTGACAGCTGACTAACACCCAGGTACCTATTTTACTGCTAGGTAACAGGGGCATGGGGTGAAAGAAACTCTGCCCATTGTTTCTCGCCGGCGCCCGGGATCGAACCCGGGACCACAGGATCACAAGTCCAGCGTGCTGTCCGCTCGGCTCCCTTTTTATTTTTTTATTTTGAACGGTTAATACATTTTATATATATATACATTTGTATACACGTATTAAAAAATAATCCAATAAATCACCTGTCCTCACACTTTATCCACCGAATTGGATAAAGTGTGAGGACAGGTGATTTATTGTCCTGTCCTCACACTTTATCCACCACTTTATTGACGCTCCTGGGACTAATGAGAATCATCCTGGATATCAGAGGTTGGTTATCGTTCTCCGTACTATACTGAACGCTCGTTACACGCTAAAACAAATCGCTGCGTCGTTATCCGTTGCTTGTAACGTCGTTAACACAACTCCAAAGTTTATGAAAAATAAATAAAAAATATATATTTTTTTGTATGAAAAATGGTGGACACAAATGCTATGGGAGGTATATTCAGCGTCAGGGCCACCAACATACAGCAGACAACAGCGCCACCAACAGGCAGCAGACAACAACCCGCCCAACAGGCAGACAGCAGAGCAACCAACAGGCAGCAGACAACAGCGCCACCAACAGGCAGCAGACAACAGTGCGACCAACAGGCAGCAGACAACAGCGCCACCAACAGGCAGCAGACAACAGCGCCACCAACAGGCAGCAGACAACAGCGCCTGCCCCAACAAAATACCCGTCCGCTCACTGCGTTTAGCGCCACCGCCTGTCTGTTAGGGACCGCGGGCCATTTTGCAATTTTTATTCTATTCTCGCGCTGGTGTTAACCCACCATGAACACACACACACAAACGCCACGGCCGCTCACGAACGCTGCAGGCGACCACAACAAAGCCGGGCTGGCTTTTGTTGTGGCTGCTTGTCCACCTACTGTATTATTGTATTTGTGTGTATACTTTTTTGTTTTAACCCCCCTCCCACCATCACCACGTATGGCGTACCAGTTCCTTATCTCACGTTATTTATATGTGTGTGTGCATGTATGTATGTGATAATGTGTGCGCGCTTTACGTAAATGGTATGACAAATTAGGTCTTATGATTGATTTTTGTTTTCTTATGATTGGGGGGGGGGTTGCTCCCCCCCAATCATAAGAAAGCAAAAATCAATCATTGGGGGAGGTTGTTCCCCCCCTCCCCCTACAAATCATTTCTATTCATCATTTTCTCATCCAGTGAGTTATCTTTCTATGATTATTTGACAATTTTAGTTAACATCTGATGAATATAGCCGCGGTTCACACACTCTGGCTTATACTACCAAATTTAAATACCATTGTTTGATTTTTCATAATCGTTTTTCCCTTTTACATTCAACCTTTCAATTCACATTTTAAATAATGATACATTGTGGGATCTTGTTTTCGCGTGTTTATTTGGTCTGCAATAGTCGGTACTGTCAAACGGGAACGACTCTTGTTTGTAACTTGATGGACAGAGGTTTTGACTCAATGGTCGTTGAATTTGTAGTAATTCTTAAAAATAAAGTGGTTATCCAGGAATGCTATGAAGGTTATCCAGTATACGAAGGTTATCCAGTATACTGGTTATCCAGTATACGAAGGTTATCCAGAATACGAAGGTTATCCAGTATACTGGTTATCCAGTATACGAAGGATATCCAGTATACTGGTTATCCAGTATACGAAGGTTATCCAGTATACGAAGGTTTTGAAGTTGATGGCAACTCTCTGGCCACCAAATTAGGATATTTTAGTGACTGGCCTCTGAATGTCTTTGCGTATCCTATATAAATAGAATGTCTTTGCGTATCCTATATAAATAGAATGTCTTTGCGTATCCTATATAAATACAAATTAAATTTGTTTTGTTTTTTGTTTTTGAGAACACGGTGGATAAATGAGGTAGAAATACACCATAGTTTGTAGCATCATTTTATTCACTCATTACTCACATAAACTATACAAATATCATTATATACAATCAATATACAATTATTACACATATATATACAGAACAAAAAATTCCCTCGATACACTAATTTGATATTTCTTCAGTTATAACACTTCCTTAGTCTCTATGTAACTGTGGTAGCCGCAGCTTTTATTGATAGCAAATTATTGAATTGAATTGGTAGCTTTTATTGACGCAAATCGTATTTGCTTCACAAAATACCAATTTTGGGTGGAGAGAGAGGAAAATGTGTGGAACATAATACTACTTTACCAATAATGGGACAATCAGAACACCTCGTCTGGAATAGTCAGGTATACACACACATGGTGTACAAGATTACATTACTTCACTGGGTGTAGAGTCCTTCATAGTTAACTATACTCTTGTCCCCTACATAATGATAAATAATATTTTCTCAGCTATTTCCAATGAATTTATAATTTTTTAAAATTTTTATGCATTGAAAATCAATTAACTATTATGTAGAGTATGTTTATTTCAAAACATTTGAAACTATGAAAAATCCAAGATCAAATTAATTGAATAAAATTTGATCAGCGGGAATCACTATTAGGGGAAATATTCTTGGAAGATTTGCCTTATTTTAATGCTTTTGTGTCTCTAGTATCAAAATAGGTTAAGTTATTCACAACAAATATATACCTTAGTGATCAGATTTCCAAAAAAATCTATTCCTTTCACTAAATGATTTGTCTATGTACACTGGCGGTTGCTTCACTATTTGCTCCTAATATAGGATGCAAACAGTGTATGGAAATATCACATTATCCTGCAATATACAGGAAGGATATACAAAATGACTCAAACTCTAGAAAGCATGTCTTCATTCAACACAATACAGAACACTACGGGTGAGGACAATAGCAGCAGTCTCCTTCCTCCTAACAGAACGTCGCATTTTGACGTATACTCTACCTAAAGGCAAAAATTGTCGAACTAGAAAATGGAAGCGGCTCGCGAAATTGACATACTGACCCGTTTTCTGTTTTGGGTCCTCTGGTAAGTTAGGAGAGGACACTTTAGTACGATTATTGACGTTGGGAAACCTTAGGAGGACGAGCTGGTTAAGGTTCCCACAATGAGCATAGTATGTTAAATGAACCAAGCTGCACTCGTGGTTCCAGCGGGCAATGGTAATATCCAGCAGGCAATACATTATCCCTTAAGGGATAGTGTTGCTGCTTGTCACTCAAGCGTGTGAATGTCGCGGGGCAAAAAGAGGACTTGGAACACGAAGTGGGAGTCTTAGCGACGAAGCTGCACTGTACAAATGTGACCAGAACTTACAACATACAAAAGCTAAGTATGACTAGTGAACAGTTCAAGAGAAGTAATAGCGACGTACAGCCTGTACGTACAATAATTACATGTCTAAGGGTACGTAAAAATACAGATTTATGACTATGAACACACATGGTTTTGCGGTAACGCTTCAGTTGGAAGGTTTGAGAGAGGATTTTCAGGATGACTTAAACTTTCCACGTTTCATGTAATCTACATTTGTGCTTTGTAGTTTAGTTCTGCTGTGAGTGGCAGTTCTTGCCACTATTTTCCTGCTAGTTTCTTTTCAAATAAATTCATATAGAAACTCAGAAGATCACTAGTTACCTGCTTGATGGGGTTCTGGGAGTTCTACTCCCTAAGCCCGCCCCGAGGCCAGACTTGACTTGTGACTTGAGTTAATTTAATAATTAGAAAATCTGTTAGAACCATAAGGAAGATTCGAACTTGCATACTGGCCAAACAGACGCCTTTAACAAGTTAACCACGACATCCCCGCCGGTTTAATTGCTTTTGAGAAGGTCGTGGTTTAAGGCGTGAGCTCTGGACATACCCAGAGTGCAGGTTTTAATCTCGTGGCTCCTGATTTTCTCATTGATACATCACTTTAAAGTGATTTCTTTATGCAGATATAATAATGCAAACAAATTAATCTTACTGGCATGAAATTAATTATTATCAGGGAAACCTTAACCAAGTGTCACTAAGTCGGTCCATTACCAGAATTTGTGTTATAATTGTGTTTGCGGGAAAACAATTACATATACCAACATAAATTTTAGTACAAAATTCTTCCTCAACAGCCAGTTTTGTGAGCTGTAAGACTCGTATGTGGTAGGGGGAGTTAGCAGAGGGGGGGGGGGGAATCTTACAGAAAAATAAGAATTGGCCAGAAATTAATTTTTTGAAATAACTTTGAACGTTAACATCTTTAACTTCTTAAATAATATCGAGGAGTACTTGCCAGAATGTAGTTGTTATGAATACTAACTTTCAACGTTGAAATCGACTAAATCATAATTTTATATCTCTAGATAAACCAGAAATTTATCATTTCATGAATAAAACAATGTCAAAAGACCTCCGCTTAGCGCCTGTGATCCAGAGCCCATCGGAGCCACATTCCTGTTGTCATCGTGTCGGAAGTCCAGAGTGCTCCTGGCTCTGCCTCCATGGTACTCAAGGCCAACAGAAATGTGATCGACAGGACTTTTGACGATTTGAACTGATTTCTGCCATTCTTTGTGGTATCTTAGTGTACTACAGTATCTTCTGTAGCTAGGACCTGGTTTCTTAGTTGGCTCTATTAACTTCCCTAACTCCCGCAGACAGAACACGTGGCTAAGTGCTCAATGTTTGCTATGTTTGGATGAGAATATTTTTATTGTGATTGTGGCGTAAGTTGATCGATCTGTCTGGCTTTTGTAGAGTTTCCACCATTTTCTTAATTTTCCCCTGTTCATTGACAGTACTTGCCTTTTCGTAAGCTTGTTCTAATTTACTTATGGCTCGTGAAATATTTTCTCAAGTTGGTGGATGGCACGATAGGTAGGTGTGCATGTGGTTGCGTGTGTGTGCATGCGTGTGTATTTGTGAGTGCATGTGTTGTAACACTCAACGGGAGGCCTTACATCTCTCTCACTCACACACAGGTCTTCTCCCCATCTCGTCCATTCTCTTCTCTCCTCCTAGTAAGGGTTAAGAGTAGAAGTAGTAAACACCTAGGAAACTAGGTATCAGGAAGACGCCCATGTAGGCACAATGGTCACACCGCTCTCCATGGCTCCTCTCTCTCTCGACGGCTGACCTGCTGACCCTTTGGGGATCACAAAGGTAATCACTCTGTTCCCCTCTACTCTCTCTCGATCTCACTTTCCTTTCAACATCTTCCCTTCCTCCGCTTCTCGGTCTGCGTCTCGCTTCCTCCTTCGTTCTACGGTATTCAGCATTAAGTTGAGGTCATGGGGTCGGCGGCGTTACCTCACTGGCAGACTTGTGGACGTTTAGGCTACGTATATAAGACAGTAATGGAATATTGAGAAGAAGCGTGAGTGTGTGGACAGTTACAAGCCTGGTTTACCATCGCGAGTCCTCAACAAGCCTGTTGATACACATATGTACCCCCTTTGGTTACGGTGTTAGCGTGTGCTAGAGTATGATAGACTGGGAAGATAGTCCAGGCATGTACCAACCGTGTGTGTGTGTGTGTGTGTGTGTGTGTGTGTGTGTGTGTGTGTGTGTTTGCGTGTGCCCCGCGCGTGTACGTGTTATGTGTGTGTCTGCATTTACATCTTGACACAGCTCTACCTCCTTTCCCTTACTTATTTCGTTTTTTGAATTCCAGCAAACTATTTCTATCCCTTTTCTTACTCTCCTCACTCTTCCCATCCCTCTTCTTCCCATCTTCACCCTTCCCATCCTTCTTGTTCTTCTTAGCACCTCCTCCTCCCCCAGCCTCCATGTATCAGATGAAGCTGTTGAGCTGCTGGTGGAAAGCAGCGAGGTAGTCGAGGATGAGCTTGGCATGCGGTCGGTCGTGGGGATGGATGGCCCAGCAGAAGGCCATCACCTTGTACAGGTCGTCGGGGCAGTTGAGTGGCTGGGCCAACCGGTAGCCGTCTCTTAGGTACTCCCCCATTTCACACGTCGCCACCTCCACGTACGGCTGCTGCGCCAGCGTCGTCAGCTCCCACAGGAGCACGCCGTAGGACCACTGTGAGGGGGAGACGAGTTGGGGTGAGTGGTATTGGAATGAGAGGTATGAATGGGTATTTTAGACGACAGGAGGTCTTAGACTACAGGAGGTCTTAGACTTCAGGAGGTCTTAGACTTCAGGAGGTCTTAGACTTCAGGAGGTCTTAGACTTCAGGAGGTCTTAGACTTCAGGAGGTCTTAGACTTCAGGAGGTCTTAGACTACGGGAGGTCTTAGACTACAGGAGGTCTTAGACTTCAGGATGTCTTAGACTTCAGGAGGTCTTAGACTACGGGAGGTCTTAGATTACGGGAGGTCTTAGACTTCAGGAGGTCTTAGACTTCAGGAGGTCTTAGACTTCAGGAGGTCTTAGACTTCAGGAGGTCTTAGACTACAGGAGGTCTTAGACTTCAGGAGGTCTTAGACTTCAGGAGGTCTTAGACTACGGGAGGTCTTAGATTACGGGAGGTCTTAGATTACGGGAGGTCTTAGACTTCAGGAGGTCTTAGACTTCAGGAGGTCTTAGACTACAGGAGGTCTTAGACTTCATGAGGTCTTAGACTTCAGGAGGTCTTAGACTTCAGGAGGTCTTACACTTCGGGGGGTCTTAGACTTCATGAGGTCTTAGACTACAGGAGATCTTTGACTTCAGGAGGTCTAAGACTTCAGGAGGTCTTAGACTTCATTTAGTCTACCTTCTGTAATCTTATACCTTCTGCATCATAAGTCTCCCTTAGTCTTAGGTATTAGGAAGCATTAGGCTACAGGAGGTCTTAGGCAATAGGAATTGGACAACAGGAAGTCTTAAAGCCTCCTGTAATCTAAGATCGTGGGTCTTAGTCTACACAAAGCCTCACGCTACAGAAATTCTTAGACTGCATGGCCGAGGCCTGTAGGATACATTCGTTTACTTTTCCATAAACCACAGTGTTGCCTAGACCAACCACAATAATCTACAGGTAACCTTACCCGATTCACTTCACTAACTTTACATTTGTTTTCCCTAATCATCATTTCGAGTGTTGTACATGAGCCTGTATTTTTTAGGGTACAATAGTTCATTTGTGTACTTTCGAACACTTATGATAGGACATATAGCAACTCTTTGGTCAAACGTACAAAAATGGGCTGTTGACCCCTACCACAATTCACGTTGTGTGTTACTGAATTAGACCAAACGATACACTTAGGAAAGTGGAAAAGTAAAGAAGCCAGAATAACCTGTCCTAGCATTCCTGCCCCTCATTTACGATATCTTAGGCTTTATTTAGTACATACATGTGGAACACCAGGCCTAGGAATGATTTAGCTTGTATTTTTCTACAAAAATTAGCACAAAACGTGAATATTGTTGGCTGCAATAGTCCATTTTTGTACGTCCGACTAAATAGTTAATGTAAATAGTATAATATTAGAACGGTGGTTGGAGGGCAGAATCCCCTCATTCCCTCCCTCCTTCCTTGATTCTAGAACAGTTCAGAGCGTTTCCCCTCCCGATTCTGAAACATTTCAGAGACTCGCCCCCCCCCTCCCCTCACAATTCTGGAACAGTTCAGAGCCTCTCTCTCACTCCACTTCCGTCCCTCGCTAAAAAGCGCAACCTCGCCGACTTACCACGTCACTGGCTGTGGAGATGAGTCTGTCGGTAATGGCCTCATACGACATCCACTTGATGGGTCTGGCCAGCTCCGACCCGACGGCCTCGTAGTCGCTCGGGAAGAGGTCTCGGGAGAGCGCCGCGTCGGTAATCCTCAGTTGTAGCTTCTCACTCACACTGTTAACGTAATGGAGTGTTGGGTTATTTTCCCATTAACATGCGCCTTTGAAAAAAGTTAATTGCAAAATAAATGATAAAAGTTACTGTTTTAACTTATGACATAACGATATTGGGGTGAGATATGGAGAGGTGTTGGACCGTACCTGAGGATACGTACAAGAAGTACACGTACAAGACACCCACACGTACAAGACGTACACCTAAGGACACCCACACGTACAAGTGGGTGTCCTGAGTTGTCCTCAGTTTATCTGAGGACAACTACACGTACAAGATGTACCAATTTCATTTGCCAGATTATTTGCTTTGTAATTTTCTTCAGTCTTCCCTGCACATTGAATCTCTCTCTCTCACACACACACACACACACACACACTCTCTCTCTCTCTCTCTCTCTCTCTCTCTCTCTCTCTCTCTCTCTCTCTCTCTCTCTCTCTCTCTCTCTCTCTCTCTCAAGATTGGCCGACTCGCTCGCTCGACCCGGCGGAGCCCGGGTCGACCGCAAAAGATTACAGCATTTAAATACTGGGAGTCATCATATAACTAGTACCTATCCATCTATCTATCCATCCCAGGGTTAACAGTTTTCCTTTCATCACACCTGGATGTACTGTATATTAAATATTACAGTATTTACCCTCTTGTATTCACCTTCTACTTCTGAGGATGTCAAGTTATACCTTGGCGAAATGTAAAGTATAAAATGAACTTAGGAAGAAAGTTCAGAAACACCCCAAAGTGAAGAACTTGAGGAATATTGAGAACGGCACAGGAATCATCGATCTACCGCCGTCGGTGATATTCAATACTACACAAATGTGGAAGAAACACGCTGTAACACTCACACGCAGTTCCTGGCGGCAAGGTCCCCGTGGAGAACATTAGCCGTGTGTAGGAAGGAGAGGCCATGAGCTGCCTGCACCGCCAGCTCCACCAGCTCCGCCGCCCGTAGGTGGCCACCTCGGTGCTCCTGCAGGTACCTGTCCAATGAAGAATATGTGGGCTGTTAACCTCAGGTTTCTGTAGTAGCTACATAAATATGTGCGTGTACATAGGTGTATATATAGGGGTCGAAAGTTAGCTTTCCAGCGCCGTATTTCCATATACTGGTTGAATGAACTTCATTTTGAAGCTGCCTTCTGAATTTGTGTCTATGATCTCTTCTTATAGCCCGTGTCATTTACAGTTTAGAGTTGTTTTTTTCCTGACGTCTCTCAGGTTCATCTGCGTCTCCAGCTTCCATCCGTGATATCTGATCCTACACTTTATCATTTTCAGCACTGCCTCTCTGGCTATCAATTCCTCTTGGTATCTTACACGTCATCATATCTCTCTTGGATTGCTTTTCCTCCAACGTGTTGATTTAAAGCTCACTCAGCCTCTCAGATTAGCTGTTTCCTCCCAGCTCTGAGGAGGGAAGTCTTCTCACCTATATCTATATTTTTGTTTTAGTGTATTGCAAGCCCTCTTTGTGGGGACATCGTGAGGGTGTTGCCGGGCAGGCAACATCAAGAGGCAATATGTAACTCAAACCTCACAACCCACATGCTTGGTTATGCAATGAACGGTAAGGATATAATGATAAACAGTCTTTGAATTTTATATGACTGTATAAGCTTGGTGATTGATTGTTGCCGCAGGAGGCGGCTAGTTTATTGTGCATCCCATACTCATCCTGTGAGCGGTAGCGCAAAAAGCATTACAGAGGGCACAAAAGGTCTTTATCAGACCTCATCTTAGATTATTACATAAACAATTTCATCTATCATTCACACCTTATAGTTACAATATCAGCTAGTTACAGAGAAAGTGCTATTTCAAGAGCTATATATTTACATTATTAATGACATTATAAGTCATTATACATTAATGGTAGGTCTTATCGCTAATACATAATAGTTTGACCAATAGAGATATTACAGAGTCACAGGGGAGCTTCTGTTTATTATTAAACTTCACAATACACTACTTGTTTTTAATCTCATATGTTATTTATATACTGGAAGCGAAATATGGATACAGTGCAAGGATTTCAGGTATTTTATCCATGGTAATAAGATAGGTTGCCATATCATACAGAGTAAGCTTAGATTTATCTCTAAATGGCTCAATTTTACTACAATCCAAGATATAGTGTTCGAGTGTGTGTCCCTGTCTTTGTCCGCACACTTTACCATTTTACCGTATCCATTGTAATAATTGTCCACCTATATCCATTCTCTCTAATTCATACATAATTACTTCCCTGTTAGCAATATCAAAGGCATATTTTAAATCAAGAAATGTTGTGTACTTGTGCCTTTTATCTCCATGGACAGTAAGAAAGGTTGTGATACAGTTGTGTACACTTTTACCATGTGTGAAACCATTGATATTAGTTGACATGTGCTCTTTAACTCTATAAAATAGTCTATCAAGCACCATTCTCTCAAAGGTTTTGCACATGCAACTGGTCAGTGAGATGGGACGGAAAGCATCAGGTTGGCCAGGCTTTGGTACAGGTACGTAAGACTGGTGGTCCGTGATACAGGCAACTGCCCAGTGACATAACTCGCATTAAACAGTTCTAATAATGGGTTACCAGGCACACGATGTAGGAGTCTTAGAATATCATAGGTGATACTGTCCTCACCAGGAGCAGTGATACTGCCCCTGGAGAGGGCTGCATCCAATTCATAATCTGTATATGGAACATCACATTCATCATGTTGCTTGCTCAACATAAAATTTATGAGAGCATTTCTGTCTGTGGACCTCGCCTGCAATTTCTCCCTAGTGCTAGCTGGTAACATTCCAAAGCTGGAAACCTGAGCCCATTTCGTAATTAACTGATTGGCTTTCTGTAGCGGGTTTGGGTGTGAAACTTGTCAATTATGTTTACCAATAATTTTGTTTATGCCTTTCCAGGCTTTGCCCAGGGAAGAATGCAGGTTAAGTCCACTAACAAAACCCATTCATTTTGTCTCAGTTCAGTCATTCTCTCCCTCGCCGCTGCAAGCGCGGCCTGAAACAGTTTTAACATTTGAGGAGTTGTAAGGTTCTTATATGCTTTACCTGTCTGTCTAGCAATTGATTTAAGCTCTTTCAGTTTAGCATCATCATAGTACTGGTTGTGTCTGACCTGTTTACCGGTACGTCTTTTTGTTTGGTGTGACTCACTATTTTTGATGGCCTCATAGGTTTCATTTACGAGGTCATCATAAAACTGTTGTACATTCTCAGGCTCATAATTGTTATACCAATGTTCTATGCTGTCTATAAAGAATTTTTCTTGCTCTTTCCTTACTGTTAGCCTGCGTCTACTCAGCTTAGTGCCAGGTAGGTCAACATTAGCCACGTGTATGTTAGTTATTATGGTTAAATGGTCAGACATTAAGTCGTCCATAATATCAGTCTCATGAGTTGTGTATGACAGGTTTAAGCCTATGCACCTATCTAGGACTCCTCCATATATCTGAGTTGGTTGATGCTTACTGATAATTTGAACATCATCATATGCATCGAGAAGTGCCAACAATCTTCTCCCGTTGGTGTTTGTGAGTTGATCCCCTAATTGTTTGTGTTTAGCATTTAAATCCTCAATTAAGATCGTAGGGTCAGTATGTGCAAAATTAGGTAGGTCAGTATACTGGAGGAGGCCAGTAAGTGCATAGGCATTCAAAACATTAAGTGTACAGTTACCAACGTGTACCCGGATACCATGATATTGAAACCCCTCTCGTTGTTGGGCGGGAAGTGGCTCATGTAAGTTTGGTGAAAATTTGCTAATCCTGGTAGTTAATGTAACTGTTGACTAATGGCTTAGCTTCAGTGAACGACATTTTTAAGTAATAGTTCCGTGAATTGTAAAGTATTTGGAAGTTTGTAGAATTTTGTAAGCTGCTGCTGGACCTTACACAAATTTTAGAGATGATTTTAGGTTTAAGAAGACTCTGAAAAAATGGACTACAATGTTTTGTGTAACGCTGCAATATTTGTTTTTTCTACGTGAGATTTACTCGACATTATATATAAAAATATACACGCAGAGGGGAAAAGGCGGAAAAGATTTGTGTGTGTGTTACGCATTTTACATAAATGTTTTTAGTTAATTATGCAAAAGATGATCAAATTACATTTTTGTTACATGAGAAAGTCCATTACATATATTTGGGGTAGTAACTGTACTCTACCAGTGACACATGTTGTGTATTTCCGTTGGTGCTGCTAGTTGGCTTCTGGTAACGATGGTTTGTGCTTGTGTAACCACAAATAATTATGCTACTGTTACTAATGCAGCTGCTTATACTACTGCTGCTACTACTGCTCCTGCGACTGCTGCTGATGTATTGCAGCAGCAGCCGCCACTACAATTACTGCTGCCTACTAAAAGACTAAAACTACAGTCTGCTAGGTCAAGTACACTCACTGTTTAAGATTGTTGTATCCGTGGAAGGGGTAGATGAGGAAGGGCGAGGAGTTATCAGCGAAGGAGATGCCGACCATGGTGAGGACGTTCCTGTGGTAGAGGTTGAAGAGATGAGTCCCCTCACGATAGAGGGCAACCACCTCGTCGTGCGGTGCTCCCTCCGTCACCGTCTTTATGAGCACCTGCTGGTCTTGCTCTGGTCGGTCCCGCTGGATCCATCCTCGAAACACCCGCCCGAAGGAGCCTTCGTGAGCCACGGCGGTCAGACGAACTCGCTGGCGCTCCACCTGCCGGAGGTCAAGACCATGGCGTGAGAAAGCTGTAAAGGATTTAGACAGGGAAGGGTAAGGCATAGAGGCTAGAATATACAAACAAACTGCGACTCAGGAAGTGACTGAAGAAGTAGATTAAGCAAGACACGACAAAGATAGTGGAGAGTCTGGTTCAGTGGAAAACGTTTGAGAGGGTAGTTACGATGGGTCAGTCTCAAGATCAAGGTTGACCTAGGTTAACATGTGGGACACAGTGTGAATAAGGAAAGTAGCAGTTGTTTGAAATGCCAACAGCAGTAGCTGAGAAGTACCAACGCCGTGAGGATAAGATAAAACTAGTAATGACAATGAAGCCTAATGACAGCTTATTCATATGGAACTTCGAACAAATTATCGTAGTTTTGAGACTAAGTTTCCATCCTTCGAGAAATCAATGTAAAGATCAACTCATAATCTCTGTGAAGTTCAAAAACTGACGGCAGATGCTTTCACTTTAAAGTATAACAATGTATAAACAAAGTATTTTAGCGTAAGTTCAATGTTATAGAGGACTTTACCGATTAGCAAGAGTGACTGGGATAGTTCTGACCATGCTATGGTACTAGAATGTGGCACTATAGTGGTATCAGGTTAAAAGTGTAGTGTTGGAATTAGCATGAATTTTCACCGCTCGTGTAGAAAGAACCTTTTGGTTCTTCGCTTGAAGTTCTGCCATTCTTGGGGTATACTATACAAACCTGGGACATCTCAAGATCCCGGTTCGAACCTCGCTAGTATTTAAAGATTTCAATTCTCACTATAGCACGGATAGTGGAAGCAAAAGGGCTAGGCAAAATAGGCAGCTACCTAGAGAGATAAATATATAAAGGCGACAAAATATATGTACATGACGGGAGAAGAAAATATCAAAGTGTTCAGTGAGGATCCACAAGATCTTCTCTGAGTACTCTTTATTTTCTTCTCCGAGGCTATGGGTCCCTACACTTGCACAAGAGGTGGTACCCCTGTACATGACTATATCCCCCTCTATTATTCGCCCTTCGGCGCAAAACATAAAAGGAGAAACACTCCAACAGCGCGCGCCTCACCTCCATTTGCCTGAACCTCTCCTGAAGCTCGGCTGCGGATGGATCAACAATCACCTCCGAGCGACTGAGGGAGCTGGAAGACTGACAGGTGTCTCTGCTGCCGCTGTCCCTACTCACGTCACAAACCTCCCTGCTGCCGCTCTCTCTGCTGCAGGGCGTCAGTGAAGCCGTCGTCGAGACGTGGGCGGGAGTGAGGGGTGTGATGGGCGTGGTGAGCTTGCGGAGGGAGGCGTAGGAGTTGATGGTAACGGAGGAAGGAAGGGTGTAGGTGTTGTTGTTGGGTGTGGCCGCTCTCAGTAACGTAGAGTTGGTCATGGGTCGCGTCTTCACTCCCAGATCGTTGATGCTGTGGAAAATAACGTCTCGTTGCGTTACTTGGTAAGGCTGGAGGCAGGTAAGCAATGATGAAAGAAGGAACCAAGTCGAGAAGACTATGTAGTATCCGGAGGCAGGTATCAAGGCGAAATTAGGAAAACTTCATATCACAAAATTAAATATTTTTGTAATTTAGATTATCACCCGCTACAGTATAATGAACTAACGATACAGCAAGAAGCAGTATCGTGTTATTAGTCTTGTATTCAAAGCCTAGCAAGGCCCAATACCTGCTCAGTGTTCACGTCCAAAAACCAAACAAAAAACTTTCACATGAACTTCAACAAAATGGTTTGATTTGCTGTTGTTTTAAGCTCAGAACATGAACGCTGTTTGCCACCTCTTGAACGACAACATTGATGGAGATTGAGCCACTCAAGAGGTGGCACGGGCATGAATAGCCCCGTAAATAACACTGTTCTCGGGTTAACATATATTACCTGAGTCTCTGCATCAGTCACATCACGGGAGACATCTCCCGTCAGGCAGGGTGCAGTCGCACCTCCACAGATCTCCTGTATCAGCTATTGATACTGGTAATGGCTCAAAAGGGCCACCACTTACGGGCTATTCATGCCCGTGCCACCCTTTGGGTGGCTTAATCTTCATCAATCAATCAATCAGCCACATGCTCCAACTGACCTGCCGAAGGACCAGTCAACCTACCCGAGGATCCTGGGGTCTCTGTCCCTCTTGATCCGCTTCCTCCTGATGTAGGCGACGATGACGATGATGGTGACGACGAGGGTGAGGCCCGCCAGCGCCGGGACGACGTAGTACACCACCGGCAGAGTGTCTCCTCGCTCCCCCAGCGGGCCCAGGTGCGGCGCGTACATTTCTGCTGACTGACCTGAGGCGCAATAGGTAAAAATAACGATCAGGAGACAGTTTCATTCACCTGGGCTGTATGGGGTCTCGAACCGTTGACCCCACGCGTGTGTGTGAGAGGTCGACGCTCTATCACATGCCCCGGTTCGAGACCCATACATCCCAGGTGAATGGAATGGTTATTGCCACGGAAGTGTGGATGACAATTTATCAGGAGAAAGTTCTTCTGGCTTAGCACATGGGAAGAATATAGGGACACGGAGCTAGGATATGAGGACACGGAGCTAGGATATGAGGACACGGAGCTAGGATATGAGGACACGGAGCTAGGATATGAGGACACGGAGCTAGGATATGAGGACATGGAGCTAGGATATGAGGACATGGAGCTAGGATATGAGGACATAGAGCTAGGATATGAGGACACGGAGCTAGGATATGAGGACACGGAGCTAGGATATGAGGACACGGAGCTAGGATATGAGGACATGGAGCTAGGATATGAGCTAGAGGGTGTAAAAACGGTGCTCAACCACTTTAACCATCGAGGATCGAACCCCAACCGGTGTTTGTCGGTGTAAACTACTAATCACATGGCCCTGTATGACCTAACCATCCTGTGAAGATGGTGAGGTCTTAGGTTGGGCACAATTCCTTTCCCCCGTCCCATCCCAAATCCTTATCCTGACCTCTTCCCAGTGCTATATAGTCGTAATGGCTTGGCGCTTTCCCTGATAATTCCTCCTCCTCCTCCTCCTCCTCTCCCGACCAGTCCAAATTGTGGAACAAAGATATTTCAAGTCTATTTTTCATAGTGATCAACATATGGCTCCTTAGCTCCAGAAGGCTGGGAAGGGGTAGCGATGCACTCGTTTGCTGGGTCAAGACACAGGCACCTTAGCCTTGAGACACTCAACACAGTACACATGAGTCACTACTCCCATGTAAACACGCTCATTAGAGTTCATGATCTCATACGAGTCCCCTACTCTCATGTTTACATTCCACAGGGTATGGAATGTGTACATGCATACATTCCACAGGGTACGTACTCGAACTACGTACGTATACTCCACAAAATACATATACGAGTCACTCATACTAGCAACCCGTCCTCACACTTAATGCCTATGTTTATACGCTAGAGACACAACTCATAAATCCATGTGCTCATCAATATATATATATTTAATGAAGTATAATTTGGTGGATTAATTGGTATGGGATATCTCGAGACTGCTGGCAGCATCCCCCTAATATCTAGGGACTAATGGTAGCATTCCCTGATATCTTGAGACTCCTGGCAGCATCTCCTGATATCTCGGGACTCCTGGCAGCATCCCCTGATATCTAGAGACTCCTGGTACCACTCCTATCATAACCTTCGAAGTCAAGCTTACCTTCGAAGCAGATTTTGCGTCTCTTGAAGTAGAGGATTGTGGGCGGCTGTCGAGACCTGGGTGACGTAAAATTGATGTTGAAGATGACGTCGACCTCGGCGCTGGCTAGGCCCGTGCAGGGCAGGTCGAGCCTGAAGGTGGCGGGCACGGAGGGTACAGTGCCCGTCAACGATACGTTCACCGAGGGCATGGCTAGCGGCAGCGGCGCGCCGGCCACCTCCGTCTCGTTCATCCAGATGGCCATGTTGTACAGCACCTATAGGGGAGAGAGAGAGACGTTTATTACTGTATTTGAAGGGGAGATATGCTTATTACTGTAGCTTAAGGGGGGTTAAGAGACACGCTTGGTACTGGAGCTTAGGAGGAGACACAGACATCTGTTACTGTCTCTCAAGGGGAAGAAGGGAAAGGAATTATCAAGGGAAAGTGCCAAGCTATTATGACTATATAGCACTTGGAAGGAATAAGGATGAGGATTTGAGAAGGGACGGAGGGAAGGAATGGTGTCCAACCACTTGTGGACGGTCGGGGATTGAACGCCGACCTGCATGAAGCGAGACTATCGCTCTACCATCCAGCCCAAGTAGTTAGACAATAAATAATAGAACAAAATGCTAATGAGACTCTGAGAATTTGAAAGGAGCCTTCAAATCCTGATTACATTACGTTTTCCAGTGATGGTAACCCTTCATAAGACTATGGGGGATTATAACCAGATTTTCCTTCACTGTCTTGAGGGCTCAAGACACAACGCCCGCCCTGGCGAGCCTCGCCCTCAACATAATTCGTGGACGCACAGTAGTTCTCGGGTGAACAACAATTATTTGACAAGCGGAGGCCATTTATGCAAAATACAGCGACAACCGGGTAATACACGGCCGATTAGATATATGAAACGACGTCAATCCGGCCAGGTTTGGAGGTAGAAAGGCGCTGTTGTACTGTGTGGCTGGGTGGAAGGTGTGCCATTGTGGGTGAGATATGACCGGGTGTAGGCAGCGGTGGTGTGGTGTTACCTGCTTCACCTGCTGCTGTTGTTGATGCTGCAGGTGCTGTTGTTGCTGCCACTACTGTTGATGCTACCACTACTGTTGATGCTGCCGTTGTTGTTGATGCTGCCACTGTTGTTGATGCTGCCGTTGCTGTTGTTGATGCTGCTGCTACTGCTGTTGATGCTGCCACTGCTGTTGATGCTGCCGTTGCTGTTGTTGATGATGCTGCTACTGCTGTTGATGCTGCTACTGCTGTTGATGCTGCCGTTGCTGTTGTTGATGATGCTGCTACTGCTGTTGATGCTGCTACTGCTGTTGATGCTGCCGTTGCTGTTGTTGATGATGCAGCTACTGCTGTTGATGCTGCTACTGCTGTTGATGCTGCCGTTGCTGTTGTTGATGATGCTGCTACTGCTGTTGATGCTGCTACTGCTGTTGATGCTGCCACTGTTGTTGATGTCACTGCTGTTGATGCTGCCGTTGCTGTTGTTGATGTTGCTGCTACTGCTGTTGATGCTGCTACTGCTGTTGATGCTGCCACTGTTGTTGATGTCACTGCTGTTGATGCTGCTGCTGCTGTTGATGCTGCCATTGCTGTCGGACCAGTACAATTGGCAACACCGAAGACCAGCCCCAGTACACCAGGGGCAAGACCCACCAGCCACGGCGCTAGTATGAAGTGTGCCCTTATGATTCTACTCCTCAGGACTCGAGCACACAATCACTCGAAAATACATAAATCTCGAACATAACCTAACCGATGACCCACGAATAGAAAACGGAACATCACATCATTTTTTTTTTACGAGCCGCAGAGATATTTAGTAGACCAGTTTTTGGTCTTAGATGATTTATAAGACAACATGAACGTACTGTGCTGGTCACCGAGCCAGTCCCCCCTCCCTGCGTCACGCTGCGTCACGCTGCCACCACATATCATAACACCATCATCACAATCAAATGTTCCAACCTCTGTAATCATCACTCCTCATCTCATCGATACCTATTATCATCCCCTCTCTCTCTCTCTCCCCCCAATCACATCCTGTACTTTAAACACACCCTTCCCTGCCCCCTCCCCCTTTATTACCAGTCCCTGCCCCACCTCTCCCCTCCCCATCTACACCCATTTACTCCTCCCCATTAATACCAGCTGCCCCCACCCCCTAGTAATAGTAGTAGTAGGCATTCATCAGTGACTACTACTCCATATTAACACCCCTTTAACCCCCCCCCCCCACCTTTCTGTCACCCCCTCCTGTTCCCCCTCTTTCCCATCGAGGCGACGTGTGACTGACAAGCGCGACTAACAGCCACTGTTGCATAATTGGCGTATAATAAGCAGGCTCCTCGTCATGCGTAAACTGCTCGTTAGGTCGCTATGGTGAGGGTGATGGTGTGAGGGGTGATGGTGGAGGCGAGGGGAGGGGGAGTTGGAGGGAAGGGGGGAGGGGGAAGGGACAGAAGTGGGAGTGGAAAAAGAGTGGAAAGGTTTGGGAAGCGAGGAGAAGGATTGAACAGGTGAGATAAAGGAAGATTACGCAGGTAGGAAAGGGAGGAGAGGTTGAGGGGGGGGAGGGTTGGAGCAGAGGGAGGAATGAGAAGTGTGAGAGAACCACGGGAGATGGGATGCTGCACGCAGCTGGACCACGGGAGATGGGATGCTGCAAGCGACTGAACCACGGAAGATGGGATGCTGCACGCGACTGGACCACGGGAGATGGGATGCTGCACGCAGCTGGACCACGGGAGATGGGATGCTGCAAGCAACTGGACCACGGGAGATGGTATGCTGCACGCAGCTGAATTACGGGAGATGGGATGCTACAAGCGGCCGGACCACGGGAGATGGGATGCTGCAAGCGACTGGACCACGGGAGATAGGATGCTGCAAGCGACTGGACCACGGGAGATAGGATGCTGCAAGCGACTGGACCACGGGAGATGGGATGCTACAAGCAACTGGACCACGGGAGATAGGATGCTGCACGCGGCTGGACCACGGGAGATGGGATGCTACAAGCGGCCGGACCACGGGAGATGGGATGCTGCAAGCGACTGGACCACGGGAGATAGGATGCTGCAAGCGACTGGACCACGGGAGATAGGATGCTGCAAGCGACTGGACCACGGGAGATGGGATGCTACAAGCAACTGGACCACGGGAGATAGGATGCTGCACGCGGCTGGACCACGGGAGATGGGATGCTGCACGCGGCTGGACCACGGGAGATGGGATGCTGCACGCGGCTCACGAGATAATATAAACATACTGCCATATACAAGAGACGTTGTAGCGTGAGCAAGGCTCGTGATTACAGGTCTGGGAGAGGAAATTACCTCACTATCTATTAAGCCTAGTCGGATAGATAATTTTAAAAATTGATTTTATATCAAAATTCACTTAGTGTTCATTTAAGATGATCTAAGGTGAGGCGAGGAAGGGGGGAGGAGCTGTGTATACTTGTATATGTTCGTTCTTGCTAGTGGCCTTTGTGACGGGTGTGTATGTTTGGCTTCCTCTTGAGCTTATCTTGAGATTGATTTCGGGGCTTAGCTTCCCCGCGGCCCGGTCCTCGACCAGGCCTCATTTTTGTTACACATCCCCAGGAAGCAGCCCGTAGCAGCTGTCTAACTCCCAGGTACCTATTCACTGTTAAATAACAGGAGCATCAGGGTGAAAGAAACTATGGCCATTTATTTCTGCCCTCTACCGGAGATCGAACCCGGAACCTCAGGACTATGAATCCGAAGAGCTGTCCACTCAGCTGTTAGGCCGTAGGTAAATATGTACCTATTTACTGCTAACCTGTTTACCTGCTTAATTCTGCCCGTATAAATGTATCTTTTTTTTATCTCACTTTCTCTGTCACTTGTTCTATGTCACAGCCTCATGTCTCACTGTCAGTTTCTGTACATTATTGTGTAATGTTACAATGTTCCTGTGTTTGGCAGTCTGTCTCTTTGTTATTCTGTACATGGCTGTTTCTTGTCATCTGTTTATTCGTATCTGTCTTTGGTCCACCTGTCTATTTTGGTTTAGCTGTCCCTGTTTTTATTTGTTTTATGTCTATGTTTAGCTGTTTGCATCCATGCCTGTTTGGTCGTTTATTTGACCGATTTCTGTCTGTCATTTTCTGCGTTCAATTTGTGGGACCTCTCACACACACACACACACACACACACACACACACACACACACACACACACACACACACACACACACACACACACACACACACACACACACACACACAGCTGGAGAGACAGGCAGGTGTAGCTGGTAAGGTGCTCCAGTGGATAAGGGAGTATCTAAGCAAAAGGAAGCAGAGAGTTACGGTGAGGGGTGAGACCTCCGATTGGCGTGAAGTCACCAGTGGAGTCCCACAGGGCTCTGTACTCGGTCCTATCTTGTTTCTGATATATGTAAATGATCTCCCGGAGGGTATCGATTCATTTCTCTCAATGTTTGCGGACGATGCTAAAATTATGAGAAGGATTAAAACAGAAGAGGACTGTTTGAGGCTTCAAGAAGACCTAGACAAGCTGAAGGAATGGTCGAACAAATGGTTGTTAGAGTTTAACCCAACCAAATGTAATGTAATGAAGATAGGTGTAGGGAGCAGGAGGCCAGATACAAGGTATCATCTGGGAGAGGAAATTCTTCAGGAGTCAGAGAAGGAAAAAGACTTGGGGGTTGATATCACGCCAGACCTGTCTCCTGCAGCACATATCAAGCGGATAACATCAGCGGCATATGCCAGGCTGGCCAACATACGAACGGCATTCAGAAACTTGTGTAAAGAATCATTCAGAACTTTGTATACCACATATGTCAGGCCAATCCTGGAGTATGCAGCCCCAGCATGGAGTCCATATCTAGTCAAGGATAAGACTAAACTGGAAAAGGTTCAAAGGTTTGCCACCAGACTAGTACCCGAGCTGAGAGGTATGAGCTACGAGGAGAGACTACGGGAATTAAACCTCACTTCGCTGGAAGACAGAAGAGTTAGGGGGGACATGATCACCACATTCAAGATTCTGAAGGGGATTGATAGGGTAGATAAAGACAGTCTATTTAACACAAGGGGAACACGCACAAGGGGACACAGGTGGAAACTGAGTGCCCAAATGAGCCACAGAGATATTAGAAAGAACTTTTTTAGTGTCAGAGTGGTTGACAAATGGAATGCATTAGGAAGTGATGTGGTGGAGGCTGACTCCATACACAGTTTCAAGTGTAGATATGACAGAGCCCGATAGG